TTCAATTAATTTCATTATACATTAACTTGTATCTTAACTAAGTTAAATTTTCAAGGTTGTTAACTTTAACTTAACTTAGTTAAAAGAAAAAAGTAACTTACCCAACCCTGGAAATTAATAATAAGAGGTAAAAAGAGCTAAGAGCCACCGCTAGCTCTTAATTGCTAATATTTAATGTCTTGTAAATTAAAATATTTAACAAACGTCGTAATATTTAATTATTTCATCAGAGATTCCATCACTTCTTATTTTGTTATTCCCATATTTTGTCGCTTGTCATGTCACTAGTATTTGAACGTGTAAAATCAATTCTTTCAATTGACGAATTCATAATACCGTTGCATTATCATTGCAATATGCGAATCAATTATAATAGACATATAAACACAAACAAGAATAGCAGGTCAGGCATTAAATTAAAAAATATCTTTTAATAATATTATAAAAATATATATTATCTTTTAATAAATTACACTGATTTTTTAAAATAAATAGGTTAATTTACTAAACATAGATTAAAGATGGAATAAGATCACAAGGATACCGAATAATAAGTTACTGAACAATCGTTATATGAGAACGAAACATGAAAATTATTGTCACTACACACTCAGAAGAAATAAATTTTTAATTAAAATGTTTTAAGAATTGACGTTATGTAAGATAGATGTTTAGACTTAACACGTAAGGTAAAAATTGTTTGTATTAATATTGAAAAGGCCTTAAAGTAAGGACAAAACATTTGTAAAATAAATTTGTTAAATATTATAATTTACAAGATATTAAATATTAGCAATTAAGGACGGGCTCTTAGCTCTTTTTACCTCTTACTATTGTTTTTATTCAATTGAGCCTAATAATTTAACCTTTATTATGGAAATTAGCTTTCTGGTCAAATTGCCTAATTTTAGATATGTGTGTGTAGTTCTCATCATTCTGAACAAATATCTCTATGGGAGCAATCTCCTGCTAACTAGTTTTTGCACTACACCTCTTGGAAGGTACATTCTTAAAAAAAACTGAATGTTGCTCTTATCTTGATTAATTACTTACAAGAGTATATATTTTTTTTAAGAATTACTCCCACCGGCTAATAGGATTTGTACGCCTTCAACTTCTTTTATTAGCCTCGCAGCCTAACAGATTGATACTGGGTCACTAATGGTCTTCGAAATTGAATAATTCGTGTAATAAAAATGCAATATACCGGCCACCTCAAACCGGATAGACATGACAAAAGGATGCAATCAAACCCAAAATGGTAAATCGCCTGTTTACCCCGGATCTACAATAGGGTTTTAAGCCTTAAGCCATAAGAAATGGGCGATATTCCTGTTCCTCTATTGTGCTCAGGCCCTAAAACCCTATTGTAGATCCGGACTTACGGAACGCACCTCAAAACTTTCTAATTCCGCCATGTTTCATCTTAAGGCCCGTCTACAATACACGGAGTAAGAAGTAAGAGTAAGAAATTGACCAATCACAGTCGATTATTCTTCTCACATTCGACTGTGATTGGTCAATTTCTTACTCTTACTTCTTACTCCGTGTATTGTAGACGGGCCTTCACGCGCTAGACACACAATTTCGTTCCTTGCACTAATCTTTTTATTTAGGCGTTAAAACTCAATTCTAAAGATACGACTGCATTCGTCTATTTATTCTACATGTGCTCCTGTCCTAATTTCGAGCATATAACGTGCATATTATAATTTTTTCATGAAGTAAATGTTGGTGAGCTGATAGCACATGGATACAGGAATCTGTAATTTATTATTTTTCCCAGTTTTGGACACAAAATACACCAGGAGCAGATACATTAGCACGGATATCTCAATCATGTAGAAGGAATTTTTATTCTGTGCAATTAATTCGAAGAACCGCGCAAGGGATATAAACGCTTACTTTATCGATAAAAAAGAAGACTCCAGCATCCCCTTAAGGCCACGACACAGACTTTTGCGTAATGCATAAGTCCATAAACACAATAAAGTAGTAAGCCTAAAGCGAAGAGCACAGACTCTTGCATAACGCATAACACATGAGGCATAAGAAATTGAACCAACCAGAGTTCTCACACAACTTGCAGAGCCACATAACCATATGCATAAAGAAAATTATCTAATCACATTTCTGTCATAAAGCCAAACGTAAACTACGATTGGATGATTTTCTTTATGCATATGTTTATACGGCTATGCAAGTTTATGTGGAATGGCCCTTAAACCTTAAGAAATTGATCAATCACACTTGAATGTGAGAAGAATAATCGATTATGATTGATTAATTCCTTAAGACTTAACCCCGGATCTACAATAGGTGTTTTAAGCCTTAAGCCGTAAGAAATTGACCAATTACAGTCGAATCCGAGAAGAATAAGCGACTGTGATTCGCCCATTTCTTATGGTTTAAGGCTTAAAACCCTATTGTAGATCCGGACTTATGCGCTATGCAAGATCTACAGAACGAGAAGTGGGAGTGGAAATAAGGGACTCTGATTGGTTGATTCGCTTATGCACTATGCCTTATGCGTTAGGGCTCTCACAGATGAAATGCATAACAGAATATAAGCATAACATAAGACTGCTGGACCAATGAGCATCTAGCATAATGTTGCCATATTGATTTACATAAGATGCTCATTGGTTTAGCGGCCTCATGTTATGCTTATGCTCTGTTATGCATTTCATGTGTGAGAGCCCATAGTCCGGATCTACAATAGAGTTTTAAGCCTTAAGCCATAAGAAATGGGTGAATCGCTCATTCTTTTCCCCGGATCTACAATAGGGTTTTAAGCCTTAAGCCATAAGAAATGGGCGAATCACAATCGCTTATTCTTCTCGGATTCGACTGTAATTGGTTAGTTTCTTACGGCATAAGGCATAAAACACCTATTGTAGATCCGGACTTTCGGATTCGACTGTAAGAGCCCAGACACACACTCTTGCATAACGCATAACGCATAGTGCATAAGCGAATCAACTAATCAGAAGCTTTCCTTTCCTCTCATTCCATGGAAAAGAAGAATTTTGATTGGTTGATTCGCTTTTGCACTATGCGTTATGCAAAAGTGTGTGTCTGGGCCCTAAGTCCGGATCTACAATAGGTGTTTTAAGACTATAACCGTAAGAAATTGACGAATTAGTCCGGATCTACAATAGGTGTTTTAAGCCTTAAGCCGTAAGAAATTGACCAATGGCAGACAAATTCGGGGAGAATAATCGATTATGATTCGTCCATTTCTTATGGCTTAAGGCTGGAGTCCCATGAGGTGTATTTACCGCGTATCGCGTAACCGCGTAACCAATCAGAAGCGATCCGCTGTTGTGGTTTCGCGTTTTACTGATTATTGATTGGTTACGCGGTTACGAGATACGCGGCAAACACGCTTCATGGGACTCCACCCTAAGGCTTAGAACTCTATTGTAGACCCGGGGTTACAGTCAAATCTGAGGGGAATAATCAACTGTGATTCGCCCATTTCTTATGGCTTAAGGCTTAACCCTTTGCGGCATACATTTTTCTATAAGATTAATTTAAAGGACAAATGTATTTCTGGGGGTTTTTGGGGTTGCTGATTACGAATTTGAAGTCAGTTTTCAAAAATCCAAAATGGCGGATCCAATATGGCGGACGAGTTTTTAAAAATTCACTTGAAACTTGCTACTGCGACTTTTGAATGTTATCATGGATTCATCGTCACTTTGTTATCTCTTTAGCTTCTACGATTTCCGCGAAAAAAAAAAATTTTTTCTACGATTGGATCCGTCATTTTGGATTTTTGAAAACTGACTTCAAATTCGTAATCGGCGACTCCAAAAACCTCCGAGGACGAAATTTGGTTTTAAATTACTCAAAAATTCGCACAAAAATGAATTTTTTGCTAAAAAAGTTCGATTTTGGAAACTTATTTGTTTATAATTGTTTATAATTTTGCGTAATTTCATTTATAATCATTTTTGTCACCTTCCCAAATGATTCCTCTATCATTGAAAAAAGATTCATGGATGTTACTTCGATAACATTGAATCTAGAGAGAAAAGTTGTGAATGAAAAAGGTGGGAATCTGGGTTCCCAGTTCCCACTATGCCGCGAAGGGTTAAAACCCTATTGTAGATCCGGGGTTATGCAAAAATCTGTGCTGCGGCCTTAATGACGCGGTCTCATGGTGTGGATTTGGCGCAGTGCGGAATTGGCGGAACGTTCGTGATTGGTCATGGCTTCATTCCGCCGTTTTCTGTTGCGCAAATTTATTTCTTTTGCGGATTCCGCCGATGCCTGTACAGTCGCGGACACTGAGGTTGCAACACTTTTTTTTTCGGTAGTTTGCAGAACACGCAACAATTTTCAAAGCGCGATCTACCATCTATTGATACGTGTAACGATCGGTTATAATCATATAAGGTCTGTTTTTTGTGACTGAACTAGTGTACACTTTTGGAACTTAAAGTGAGATAGATATACGTTTGATATTTGTTTAAAGCGAGAAAGAGAGTTCTAGAACAGTCTAGTGCAGGAACAGAAAACAGACCAATAGAATCGAAGTATACAATGTGACAGAAATGTATCTTGCGCAACGCGATAAACTTTTAAGGGGGTGATCCCGGTTGATCACGGCTCGATTGGACACCACCAATCACAGCGACCGGTGCTTAGGAGCTTTGTAGTCTCAAGCGCTGTGAGTGGCTCGTGTCCAATTGAGCCGTGTCCAACTGGATGCCAACCATAAAGACGCACGTAAAATGTGATTGGATAATTTTTTTTATGCATACGTTTATGCGGCTTTGCAAGGTTGTGTGGATATACCCTATAAAGTGTAAAAAGTGTAATCAAGTAGAACAGACCACATGGGTTTCTCCGTTTCTCTCTGTTCTAGCCAATCAACGCCTCGCTTTCACGATGGAACTGCGCAGGTTGCGTATTGCGTTCCGTGAGCAAGGCGTCACGATTCGCGGCATCACAGCGTCGCATGTTGCATGTTTGGTTATAAATCCCGCCATCTCCGCGCTTATAGTCGCATGAAGTTACGGTCGATCTTCGTTACTCCATCGGTCGAATTCGCGAAATAAAAGTCGGCTTGCGTACCGGCGCGCAAATTGGCGCAAATCACAAGGAACCAAAACGGAAAATGTGATAACGCCGAGGATATCTACGCGTTTTCTGAATGTTTTGTTCGCTCGCCCGCTTACGACTACGACGCAAGCGTTGATTATAATTTCGTGTTAGAACAAGAAGAACCCCAGCTGCGTGAGTAAAAATCCAAACGCCAAACCATGGCAAACGTGTCTCTCGACAAGGATATGTTTTTTCGGCGCATGAAGCGTCTGTATGCCGCGTGGAAGGTAAGCGTGCTGGAAATTACATGCTTCTTGATCCCGGTGAGCAAAACTGTTGCGTATTATTATACAATCTTTTGTTTTTTATAGGATGGGGAGGTCGGCACTGATGACAGTTTTAGTAAAATGGATTGTCTTGTTTCTGCCGTTGGCACTGATGAAGATATTGTTTACAGCAAATCCATAGCGTTGCAGGTATATGTGTTTTAGAATTAGAAATTTTTCTTGAGGACTGCTTGTTACAAGTATCTTATCAAAAGATGATATGTATCAATTTCTCTTCAGTTCTATGTACAAAATAGAAATTGCTTGGAATTCTTCGATAAAGAAAGATTGAAATAACAAGTGACACTAGAACAGTTTGGCCAATGAGATATCAGAATAATTTCATTATGCTATCAGAGAGATAGCGTAGTGAACAAAAGATTTACTGAAAAAATAATATATATTTGATAAGCTGAAAAATTTTATTTTCATAATATCTTTTGTATCTTTTATAACACCTTAGATTATTTATTAAAAAAAAAATTACATAAAATATATTGTATCTTTGGGAATTAATTTTCTATGTATTACACTTATTTTATGTCTTATTATATTATGTTTATTAAAGATACATATCAATAAAAATTATTTTATTGCAAATACTTAATATAAGATAAAATTTTTTTTTATTAAGAAATAAATTGAAAGTTTCTATGTATTAACATGTTTTATTTTAGACATGGCTATTCAGTTACGAACTCACGGATACTATAATGATATTGACTGAAGAGTCTATTAATTTCTTAGCCAGTAAAAAGAAGATTGAATTTTTAAGAAAAGTAGAAAATCAAAATGAAGATACAGGAGTACCACCTGTGAAATTGTTTGTTAGAGATAGAGTATGTATATTGCATATAATTAATGTAAGAATAATTTTATTATTAAATATG